AAATAGATAACACTTTAGTTTAGGTCCAATTCTCACTATTAACAATTTGCTTATTAGCATTACATATTGTTACGATATTGGCTGTTTATTAGTCCTTATAAATCACAGTATTAATGTTGTGCCACTAGCCTCCCTCATTACTGACAGTGCTTATAGTAAATGTTGCAGTGCTTATGCTGTTCACGGGGAAGATTCTTAAAGATCTCGTTGTTCTCTGTTCTGTGGTTCGAGAGAAACCCGTATATATATATGCTCTCTCACAAGTGGTTTCATTTTCAAATTCTTTATGTTTTGATCTTAAAACATAAGCTTTGATTTGATTTGTTTGCCAAGTTGGTCTCTATCATTATCGAAAAATGGCATATTAACATTTTTAACGTGTTCTTCGGCTTGTTTATGAGACCAGAGTCCAGTTTGTGCACGGGCGCCTCCATCATGATGATCTATTTTCTATATTTACTTCTTATTAAGTAAAACCAGGCAATTGGTTGATGAAACATTGATTGAAATTGAGATAGAATTAATAAAAAAACGAAATTCACTTTAAAGAAGGGCTTTGTGGTTTCTCTTTAAGATCTCTGTGAAGGTTTTAAAGTCGTATTCAGAGCGGTCATGTCCGTAATGGAGAACTGTCACATCCGTAACATTGTTTTTTTTTTTTTTTTCCCCCTCATAGACACGAAAAATTAAATAAAAATAATATTTTATGTCCTGTGGAGGCCGGCCCTTCTTCATCTGGTTAGTTGGCTATTACTTTTGTTTTGCGCAGCGTAATTCATAGAATTACTAAAAAAAATATTTTGCCACCTAAAAGTTAACGATTTGTTGTGTTATGTGTATTTCGCTCACATTGAATATAAAACGCATGGTTTTCTAATGTCTGGACTACAGTTCTAGCATATGTAAACAAACACAACCGGAAGTAGAAAAACGTTTAGTCAGTTGAACCCGCTATGAATCATGGGAAATAGAACAGGCGCAGAAATGATACGGTACTAAATAGAAGTGTTACTATGTGTACAATTTTTTTTTTTTAAAAACCATCTTTTTTCAGAGTGTAGTATAATATTTTGCTAATTTTGTGGCAGTCATTTGAAAACATTGACTATAATCTTGAAAACTGGACAGGACATTTTATTATGGTTTTTTTTTTATTATTATTTATATTTTGTGCAGTATATTTTACAATAAATTTTACTTTTTCCCCGCCAGCTTTTTATTTATTTATTTTTTTTAATAATTTTCACCAAAATGTCATGAACCTCAGAATTTTGATGGATGAATATCTGAACATGTGATATATCAAAAGAAAGAACAGAACCTCAGTTCATTTTATTATTATTATTTTTAATTTATAGTCATGCATTATTTTTTAATCAGCATTTAAATGTTGGTTAGTTTCACATTCTGAAGAAGGGTTTTTTTTTTCCCGTGCATGCTCAAGCAATGCTTTTATCACTTGTTTCTGCTCCTCTTTTTCTTTTTTTCTTTTGATCCAGAGATTCAGTACTCTTTCAGAAGATGCATAATAGCACCCCCTAGTGTATAACAGTGAAAACGCGGAAAACCGTCAATGGCGGGGAAGCGCTGTCTCTTAAATGACGGGATATTGCGTCAAAGGGCAGGGAAAAAGTTGAGGCTATAACTAAAACATACTTCACAAATAAAACACAAAGAACTCCATTAACTCTCAGCTTTGAAAGAGCATAACCTCTGGGTGATATTTTTTTCCTCTGTGATTTGCCTTCTTTACAATGGAAGCACCAAATTATGTACCAAGGAAGCACACACACAGCGCAAAAGAACAGAAAACGTGCATTTTTGCATGGCGCCTGGGGCTTCAAGCAGCAGTCCTCTGATAAACAACCTGGTCCCACCGGTGCTTTTAACACTCCAGTGAATACAAGACGAATGTGTGGTTGGAACATAACACAGTTGGAACAGTTTGAAAGCCATTCCAGCAGAATAAACGAATACAGAAATACATGAAAAGCCACAGGAAAAGTGTGGGAAAGCTGTGAACACAATGATCGTGCTAAAGTTCCTGAAAAATGAATTTAACATTCTCATTTATATGAATAGTGTTAAAATTATTATCATTACAGAGATATGTGGAAAAACCTGAGATAAGTTATGCTAATTGCATTCGCCTGACATTGCACTATTAAAAATGCTCTAATTTAAGACTGTAAAATCTAGCTGCGTTTACATTTATTAACGTTTGCCAGCCTCTTGGAGATAAGGTTTTCATGTAGGGATATTTCTTCATTTATGTGTGTACTTTTTTTCTTTTTACTAACAGATTTAATTTTCATCATTAGTTATCAAGCTTGAAAAATGCTATGTGAAAAAAACAACTTTTTTTTGTCTTTACAATTTAATGTAGACCTTGAAAGTTTAAAGCACATTTTAACAGGCTTGATTGATATGATGTCTTTTTTGTGCATCTAACTGAGCTAAGAAGCCAATCAAATTACACTCCTGGCTGAACTTATAACCACGACAAATGATCATAGTTGTGCCATATTACAGTTTGTATGACATCCAGTTCAGTACAAACTGTAATATGGCACAGCTATGATCATTTGTCGTTCATCCGTCACCTCAACACAGTCTTTGACCTTAAGCAATGCATTTTAATTAGATCCATCTCTGAAGAAACGGACACAGATGTGAGAACAGGCGACAATCAGTCTATATACAAATGGCAAACAGCAACTTTTTCAGAATATTCTCAAGTCAGAGCATTCTGATTAAAAAGGTTGGTTGAATTAAAATGAGTTTGTTCACAATTTACCTGGTAAAAATCCTAATTTACAGTATTTGGTCACCTTCTTTTTTGATCTGTAGTCAATAAATCCTCCGTAAACTCTACAAGTGAACCTTTAACTTAACCAGGTTCATTTAGATTTGAATGTAACTGAATGTGATGTATGATTAGTGAGCAATTTATTTGGAAATTAGTCAAACTCCACCAGTTTGACCTCTTCAGGCAGATTTCCAGACCTGTTGCGAGCTAGAGAGGCTGTAATCAGCTTTGACAGAATAATCAGCCAATCATAGTGATGAAAAGACCATGATTGGCGGGTATTATCACATTGACAGTGTAATGAGTTAATCATAGTGTGACGGAGGCATTGCCTTCTCACACGATATGTTTTGCTTCGCATGCCTCACTTTAGGATCTCGATGGAAGCAGGGAGTTCGAGCGAGGACAGAAAATTGCTGCCTCTCTGAAACTTCATGTGCCGGTCTTGCTTTTGGATTGTATTACTTGTATTAACTGTATTACCCTCAATTTGTTGCAAACCTGTATGAATTTCTTTCTTCTGCTGAACACAAAGGAAGATATTTTGAAGAACGATTGGAACTTTGGCACCATTGACTTCCATAGTATATATATTTTTTTTTCCTAACATGAAAGTTTGGTTCCAATCGTTCTTGAAAATATTGTCCTTTGTGTTCAGCAGAAGAAAGAAACTCATTCAGTATCCCTTTAAAGGAGTAGTTCACTTAAAAAAAACAAAAACTTTTGCTGATAATTTACTCACCCCCATGTCATCCAAGATGTCCATGTCATTCTTTCTTCAGTTGAAAAGAAATTAAGGTTTTTGATGAAAACATTCCAGGATTTTTCTTCATAATGGACTTCAATGGGAACCAAACGGTTCAAGGTCCAAAAGACACTTTCAGTGCAAACTGCGAACTGTTAAAAGGGCTTTAAGCGATTTCAGACGATGAACAATGGTCTTATCAAGCGAAACGATCGCTTATTTAAAAAATAAATAACAAAGTTTAAGTTTTATAAGCTCAAATGCTCGCCTTGCTCTGTTCTGTGATGCGCGTTCGTGACGCATTATCAAAATGAACAAATCTTTATTCGAGTCATTTGGTTCATTCAATAAACGAAATGAACGAATTGACTTGGAAAAAGATTTGTTCATTTTGATGAACGAGTTTGAACAGGAGAGTCACGAACGTGCATCACCGAACAGGGCAAAGTACTTTATTGAGTACGCTTTAACAGAGATTTGTTTCTAAATGTCTAGCAGCATAGGTCTTTAATGCCCCTACTCTAGGGGACCTTCTGTCCTGCAAAGTTTATTTCTAACCTCCTTCATCTCAAAAGCCTGTGATTTTCAAGCCATCCTGAACAGCTCGACTAGCAGGTTCACATTTGCTTGATTATGAATGTGAAGACATGACCAGAGCAAAGGCAGGGGACACTGCCTTTGCTTGCAATCAGTTAAATATATATTGACTTCCAAATAAAGAATATCAAATAAAAAAAATACCATAAACAAAAACCACTCAAGGTGACCCTCCTTACGGAGGTCCCTCACCACAGACAAACATACATTCCTTTATACTGAAAGGGTCAACCATTTTACAGTAATAGGGAATTTAAATAATGTTCACACACGTAATACATAACGACACTGAAAATGAAAATAATATTCAACATACATCAACCTTAATTCCACAAGAAAAATAATACAAATAACAAACAAATACATTTCTACATACAATGAAAATAAACACAATAAAACATGAAACAACAACCCCCTGCTCCCATTGAGAAATGGACTATGCCTACACTACCCAGAATCCTTTGGGATGGCATAAAATGGGGAACAGGAAGGCCGCCCACCCTCTTAAAACCCACCCCTGGAAACCATGCTGCACACATGAACCTTGAAGGTTAGTTTTGCAAATGTGGATAAAACTAATGATTTATGTACATACCAAATAAAGAAATTAATCTCTTGCTGTTTTTAACAGTCTAATGTGCACCTCAGACTAGAAAAAGTCCAAATAATGAGAAACAAACACTTATAAAAAGAATATAAACCAAACAAACACAGGGGCCTACACTGCCATCAGGGCTAAATTAGGATTTTAGAGCTAAACTCTCCAGGACAGTGAGTCCCTGGGAGGAAGACTAAAGGCCTAGTCTACAGAACGAATGTTAGTCAAATATTTTTCTTCTTCTTTTCCAGATTGCACTTCAAAAGGAAAGTTATGTGACCGTGGGCCTGCTGGATATTATCCTGAGTTTGCCTGGAGTTTAACATCAGCGGAGGACTCCTGGGCCAAAGACCAGACAATGGCAAAGACAAAAGCAAGTTCCCAGGGGTGGGAGGAAGGTAAAGATATTGCATTTTTCACTGTAAACCACGCTTTCCCAACAATCTGCAATGTGTGGCAAGATCTAAATGCTTTTCATTCAAGTCAAAAATATTAAAATAGGCCTGCATCAATCTGACTACAACTAAGGGGTCTTGTTACAGTAGGTGAAATATCTCCATATGGTATTGACGGCACAATTTTAACTGAGTGTCCACCTTTATCCAGAGCGGTATTTTTAATTCCCAGAGACATCTGATGAATAAATTAATTATGAGAAGTTAAAAGGGGCTTTGATTAAGTCTCTCATATCCACCTAAAGCAAAATTTAATAAAAGTTTCCCATTACAACTTTCAACGAAGTTCTCTTCTTCACAAACTTTGAACCTTAGTGGTGTGATGCGGTTGAGTAAAATACCGAACTGAAGGAAGATTCACCATGTACAGGACCGCAACAATCATCATTTCATCTTTTCTCAGGGAGGAATAGCGAGATGAATAAGAGCCAGAATAAAAGAGAAATGGTTGGGGAAATGAATGGGGTGCATGATTTAAGAAAGCCTCATTAGAGAGTCAGGTTGCGGAGAAGGCTGGAATTACGAACTCTTCATGCACTTGAAAGACAAACGCTTGCTGTTCTTTTCACACAACTGTAAAATCTAACATTGTTCTTACTAAGATTTATTTTTTTTGTTTACTTTACTAAATCTCCAATAATTTGCTGAATTTACTTAGAATTACTTAGTAATCTGTACTGTTTGCATGTACTGTTGCATCTGTACTGGTTTGAGTACCATTTTGCCCCTTACATTGCCATTGGTGGGGCAAATGGTTTATGAGGCAGGGCAATTCTCAATTGACTTTTCACTTCTTTAGTCATTATTCTTCTTATTCATCTTGAAATAGTCATCATGAATATTATTGTCAATACACCTACACATTTTAGGAGAGCATCAAAATTCTTTAGTTGACTACTTGATTTCCCTTTTCTCACCATTATTGTAATTAATGTTCCCTTTGGTTGGGCACTTGGAAATTATTTGTTATTTTTTTTGTAATTCTTTTCCTGATTTCAGTGATGCAACATGAAATCACAATTATTTGATTAATTTCAAAAGAAGTGAAGCATGTAGATATATGTAGATACATGTATACTTTGTAGTTCCCTGTACATATGAAAAGTGTGTTTTAAGGGAGTTCAGCTGTAAGTCCATGAAGATTCATCTTAATCAGCATGAGTAATCACATTAACAGAGGAGCTCATTTATGTATGCTGCTATGTTCTTCAAAAAGACGAAGGGCTTTAAAGATTTTCCCGAGAATAACAGCCTAGCAATACCAGCAGGAAAAGAGCTGATGCACTTGGTTGGAATGAAAATGAAAACATACAGGCCAAATCATTCTTGCCCTCTTTCAGTGAATGATTGCGCTCACCTCCTCTCCATATGTCCTCAGGCGTGTGGGTTTATATGTGAAGGGAAATAGCGGATGAAAAGTTTGATGAATGCAGAGAGTGAAATGCCAGGGCTATTTACCTTTCTATTGGCTGGTGCCCTACCATTCTGTGGAGACTTGATGTAGAGCATGGCTGTCACCGAGGAAGGCTGAGCAGCCTGGGAACGAAGTGGCTTTTGGGGAGGTCAGTGTAATGAGGCGGACTAGGGTAGCTCATTGCAGGAAGTCAGTTGTATTTGAAGGTTAAGACCTCTGGTAGTATTTCTTTGGTTTTCTTTTGGCAGGATACAGTATTTGATATGTGTTGTATAGTAAAAGATCTATATTATTTTTCTTTTGGAGTATGAGATACACATCTTTTTAGGATGACCCAATCCATCTTGGATGATTATTTAATAAATTTGAATATATATATATATATATATATATATATATATATATAATTTACATACATACATGCATACATACACTACCGGTCAAAAGTTTTAGATCAGTAAGATTTTTTTCTGTTTTTAAATGAAGTCTCTGCTCCCCAAGGCTGCTTTATTTCATGAAAAAAAATAAATAAAAAATGACAGTTATATTGTGAAATATTATGACAATTTAAAATGACTGTTTTCTATTTTAATATATTTTTAAAAGTAATTTGAAAGCTGAATTTTCAACATCGTTACTGTTGCTGTTGATCAGTTTTCAGTGTCACATGATCCTTCAGAAATCATTCTAATATGCAAAAAACATAAATGATTATTTTCAATGTTGAAAACAGTCGTGCACCATTCTTTCCCCCAAAAATCTATGATGAATAGAAAGTTCAAAAGAACAGCATTTATTTAAAATATAATCTTTTCTAACATTATAAATGTCTTTACTGTAACTTTTGATCAATTTAACTCTGATGAATAAAAGTATGTTAACTCTGATGTTAACATACTTTTGTATGTGTAAGTATGTTAAAAAAGTATGTTAACTCTGAGCGGATGTTAACTCTGATGAATAAAAGTATTTTCTAATTACTTTCTCCCAAAAATAAAAAAAAAATGAATTCTTACTGACCCCAAACTTTTGAATGGTAGTGATTAATGTTACAAAAGCTTTCCATTTCAGATCAATTCTGTTCTTTTGAACTTTCTATTCATCAAAGAATCCTGAAATAAAAATGTAAAAAAAACTGTTTTCAACATGGATAATAATCATAAATGTTTCTTGAGCATCATATTATAATAATTTCTGTAGGATCATGTGACACTGAAGACTTGAGTAATGATGCTGTAAATTCAGCTTTGCTCACAGGAATAAATTACACTTCACTATATATTCACATAGAAAACCGCTGTTTTAAATTTCACAATATTACCGTGTTTTTTTTTTTTTTTTTTTTATCAGCCTTGGTGAGCAGAAGAGACTTCTTTTAAAAACATAAAAAATCTTAATGATCTAAAACTTTTGACCGGTAGTGTATATGTGTGTGTGTGTGTGTATATATATATATATATATATATATAGTAGATACTAAGCGCAATAAGCAGCGAACAATAACAATAATTTAGGACTGAGAGGGACTGCTTTATGTGCGCACACATTAGGTGTGAGCACAAAATACTACATTCAATCCCACGCCGGAATTCAAGCCTTGTAACACAAACAATATTCATGAATGATTCATCAGGAACAGTTTTAACCATTCTAAGATCTTCAGCCTTAGGAAGGTCAAACAAATGAGTTTTGGAAACGTTGTGGAACAAATCAGCATCTCTTTGACAACACTGTCTTCTCTAATGGTGCTCAACCAGGCCTCGTCCCCCTTTTGCATATTCTGTGGGCACAGATTATTTAAATTAGTAACATTGTGACTTCATTAGATCTAGAAAAATCGCGTTGTAGTCCAAACGAGCCGTTCGTTGAAGTGCTTGAAAATGGCATTCTGAAATGGTGCTTGAAAATGGCAGTAAAAAATCTCCCTTTGGAGTACTCACAGATCTTTTTTATGCACAAACAGCAACATTACACTCTAACTAAAGGCAAAAAAAGTGCATAATAGGACCCCTTTAATTTTGGGGTGAACAACCCCTTTAATAAATGTCTATAACTCTGGCTCTTGGGGATAGGATTCTGTGGGTGTGTACTATCCTCCAAAAACTGGCACAGATGAATGTGGAGTTGACGTTTACCCCATTAGCATGCTTAACACCATTAATGAAAGGAATATAGAGCTCATTATTTCATTATTTGAATAGCAAACTGGAGCGGCCAAAGCCCGGGATGATCACAGAACATTAATTCCACTTGCCGCTTTAGGAGTCTATGGACTCGGGGGAGTTTCCGTACTGCATGCCCAGAGAACAGGTGGTGGAGAGCGGAACTGGTACAGATCACTGCGGAGATGAGACAATTTGCCTAGATCCTCACCAGAAGAAAACATTACCTCAAAGCTTGGTTAAATTCCAGCCTTTGGACAAAACATTAAAGGCAACCTGTGTCATTTCTCCATAAGTAGAGTCACCAAACAAAGGTTTTTTTTAATTTTTTTTAATTTTTTTTTTTTTATATATATTTTCACCAAATGGTTTTTACTGGTGTTCGACACTGCACGGCTAACCGGCTCTAGAAGTAGCTGTTAGACACAATCATGTCACCCTGTATTTCTTGGTCCTAATTAAAGGAGTAGTTCACTTAAAAAAAAAAAAAAAAAAAAAAAAAAAACTTTTGCTGATTTTTTACTCACCCCCATGTCATCCAAGATGTCCATGTCATTCTTTCTTCAGTCGAGGTTTTTGATGAAAACATTCCAGAATTTTTCTCCATATAATGGACTTTATTTGGTAACCAAACGGTTCAAGGTCCAAAAGACACTTTCAGTACAAACCACAAACTGTTCAAAGTGCTTTAAACGATTCCAGATGATGAATAAGGGTCTTATCAAGCGAAACGATCATTCATTTAATAAATAAATAACAAAGTTTAAGTTTTATAAGCTCAAATGCTCACATTTCTCTGTACTGTGACGCACGTTTGTGACTCTCCTGTTCGAACTTGTTCATCAAAATGAACAAATCTTTTCCTGAGTCATTTGGTTCATTCATTTGTACTGAAAGTGTCTTTTGGACCTTGAACCGCTTGGTTGCCTCTAAAGTGCTTTATATGGAGAAAAATGCTGACTTTTTGCTTGTATGATAATTTATATTTTATAATTTTTCAAATATTCTAACATTAAAAAAATTACTTAAATCATCATTAAAAACTACTTAAAATCAAAAGGGGCAATTTCCTGAGGCATCCTCTGCTACAATATTTTGGAAAGCAAGGCTATCATGGATTCATTACTTTTTAGCATGCATCTTCTGTTTGCAAGGATAGTTGCATATTCTCAGCCTAGAAGTGCTCACATAGAGATTACAGCGAACTTTTAATCATGCATGCAGAGTCCAGACAACATCAGCTGGCTAAGGAAAACAGGAGGTGAACCCTGCACTGCCAAGGTGGTTCAGTTGATTTGTTTGCACAGGCTGAAGTGCTTTGAAGCAGACCGCCACTCTTTCTGATTCCAGGGATGCCCAACAATGTT